GAAAAAGAAGTGCAAAAATTTGATCTATATTGCCCTACATTTTCACGCTGTTCTGAAGATATGAACAGTATTGCGCTACATGTAATGCGGTACTATTCACTTTCCCTACAATTTTTTTTCCTTCAAATTTTAGTTTTTTAATTGATTTTTATTTTTAAATATTATTTTGATAAATATACATCAATTAATTTATTTATTTTGTTAAATAATTTAAAATTTTTATTTTATAGTTGTATTTAAATTTTATTTTATACTATTATATTTTATGTAAAGTAAAATGTAACGCGAACGACTTGAGATGAAAGTTAAATTCTGGCATTCTCCGAGTAAACTCTAACTAGAGTAGGGTAGGGGATTGGAGAGGGTCTAAGACCATCTTATTCTAGAGTAGAGAATGCAAAAAATTAACTTTCGTTTCCAGCTGTTCGCACTACCTTTTGCACTATTATAAAATAAAATTTAAATACAACTATAAAATCAAAATTATTTAACAAAAATAAATAATTTATTGATGTATATTTTATCAAAATAGTATCTAGAAATAAAAATCAACTAAAGATATAAATTTTAAAGAAAACAGTTGTAGTGCGGTGAATAGTACCGGACTACATGTAGTGCAATACTGTTCACATTTCATAGTAGTGCGAAAATGGAACAAAATATTGGAGCAAGTTTTTCGCACTACTCTGGAGTAGAGTAGCATTTTAGCGCGGGGCTGGAGAAGAGGTTTGCTTCCGCGTTGTAACAATTTTAAAGCGGTTTGGTGAATTGATCCCTAATTAAAATACCAATTGAAGACGTTTTGATAAAAGTGTGAAATGTCTTGTGCGTAATGCTATAATCAAACCGAAAGAGCCGAGCTTGGGCATTTCGAGCTCGTGTTCGTTTACGTTTGAACAATATTTGTGTTCGTTCGTTTATTTTTCGAGCGAAAATCGTGTTCGAGCTCGTTCGTTTAATTGTTCGTCAACGTTCGAATTCGTTCGTGTTCGAATATTTTAGGACATAAACTTTTTAAATAAGTTTGATTAACTCGAAATTTATTCATTCGAACTAGAAAATAAAAAAATAATAAAAATATGTTTATATTTTAGATTTTTTATTATAAAGTATCATGTAAATATATAAATAAACAAAACAAAACAATACTAAATTAATGTTCGTGAACATTATCCAACGTTCGCGAACGAGCTCGTGTTTATTCGATTATTAAACGAACATAATTTTCTGTTTGAACTCGGCTCGATTAACAAACTTATGAGCTTTTGTCGAATACGAACGAGCTCCAACGAACTTTTATTCGCGAACGTTCAGTTCGTTAACAACCCTACTTGCATGACTGTCATTAGGGAAAATAAATATAAAAATTTATTTATATATTGTGAAGTATCATATAATTTTTTATATTGATCCCCAATTAAAATACCAATTGAAAATGTTTTGAGAAAAGTGTGAAATGCCTTGTGTACTGTTATTACTTAGGAAAACTAAATATAAAATTTTATTTATATATTGTGAAGTGCCATATAATTATTTATATTTTGATGGTATGACGTTTAAATCTGAAAATATAGCAATTCGTTGAAAATTTTAGCTTCCAACGGGTCGGTGTGCTTCACAGCTAGAAACGGAGCCTCGGAACCCAGTTTTTGAGTTTCTAACCGGTCGTGTGCAAATTATGGCCAATTGTATATCGCATTATTGTCAATTCTTTTTAGGATATGCAATAGTTAAAGTTTATAAGTGAACTTAATGAAAAATTATAGCATGAGTTTTGTACTAGTTGATTTGCGAATTATGACCAACTTGACAATGTTATTATTGGTTAATACAACATCTTTGTGAAAATCATTAGTAAAGTAGAAAAGTTGGACTCATCCTGTAATTAAAATGGAAAAGGTGATGGAAAAATTGACACACTATCTTGTAAGTGGTAACTGGACATGTCCACGGCCAAACCGAATCGGAACGGCTTGATCAAGCCCGTGTTTTATCTGAACCGATTTTGTTTCATTATTTTTTATAATTTGCATCGTCGGTTCAATATTTTTTTCTTTTTCTGATTTTTTTTTGTTTTTAATTATTATTTTTTATTTAATTTATTGGTTTGGCCCGAAATCTGTCCGTATATGTTATCGGGCCGATTTAAGGCTCTTAACCATGCAACCCAAAATCGAGATTTGGCTATGACTAGTTGCAGCCCAATTCTACGGTTAAAGTAAGTTGATGATAATTGATACAACACCCATAATTTTTCAGCGGATCGACTAGAGTGGGTAGCCCGGGTCAATCGATCCAGGATAATTTCTAGCTCGGTAGTAAGGTTTAATTCTGTTAAAGAGCTCGGTATGACAACTCGAGTTACGGGTTGACTCTGGTTATGAGCGAGCGAGTTGGGCTCATTTGGGAGCTCGGTCAAAGGAGGGGTGGTCACAACCTATAGGTCATATAATCGACCTAGTAATGAGTATGGTGACAGATGTTTAGAGTCCAACCAAGATAATAAGTATATCTCGCTAAGAAGTGAAAGATCTCTGAAGCATGTAATACTTGGAAATGAGATATAGAGATTCAAAGGGATCTCTTTCCTAATAATGAGGTTATGCGGGTAAGAAAGAAACCTCTTTATAAGAGGAGCTTATCAAGTTATTTTACAGTGCATAACATATTTAACATCCCACTTGTAACTAGTTCACGAGCGAGATCTAAATTGCGCATCAGATGTTTTTTCTGCCGGGACCCCTCCCAACGTATTTTGCATGTCACCGGAGCTTAGATTGAAGGATGCTTCATGAGGTTTCCGATCTAAAATCCAGTTTAGGGGAAATTTACGTATCAAATTGGCAGAAATCTAGTCTTTTATTGGTTGACGAAAGGCTTGTTGTTCTCATAATTTCCGAAGACAACTAGATCATGGCCCAAGATAATTCCAGGAAAAACTTGGGCAAGGACATGTAGGAAGCTTGGGCATCACAAGTCCCTATGGGAACAAGACCACTGCCCGGTTGGTCGAATGATACAAGCACCCAGGCCAAGACAAAGGTGAGCATGTCTGGGCCGCATATAAACTTGATCCTAGTGGTGAACCATGTGGTGTGATCTACTCCAAGGGATAGGAACTAAGAGCATCTCATTGTTGTTCGTAGCACGAGACCCCTCGAGAGAGTCGAGGAGCGATAACTCAAGGACCCCAAGAATGTCCTGTTGGGATATATGAGGATCTCGTTATGTACAAATCACGAATTCAATAGCAAACGTAAACCTATGCGTAATGGATCTAGAGGTTTAACGTAGAAAACTTACGTCTTAAAATTTTCTGAATCTGTCGGATTCGGGATGACCGGAGTAGCGCGTTGGAAGGATGCCGAGAACACGGGGATCGGTCGGCGTAGGGTCGCGGGCTGCGGGGAGGTCGTCGGAATCGGGTCGCGGGGTCGCCCGGGACTCGCGATGGTGGCAGACTGGGCGATTCTCGGCCTTGTCGCGGCGGTGGTCCGGCGGGTCGGGCTCGTCGCGGCGTCGACTCCGGTGGATCTCCGGTAGATGATCACGATGTCTCGATTACCTTCGGGATCTTCTACTGTATCACTCGTTCACCTCTTCAACTTGTACCGGTGGAGCAACAAGAAGAAGATAAAGCTCGAATGAGATCTAGAGAGAGGGGCGTGTGTGTATCACATTTCTACAGATCTGTTCTCTTCTCATGAGCTTAATGATATATAGAGAGAGAGAGAGAGAGCTACAGTAGGGATCCTTAGAAGAATAGCAATAGGGCTTCTTAAGTAATGGACTAACTGTGGGCCAGACTCACTCCTCCAATTAGTTAAATAATTAGGGATGTCAATAAACCCCGTAAGGTCGGGTTACCCGCAGGTTACCCGCATTTTCGGGTCAGGTAAACCCGAGATGATGGGTTTCGGGTCAGGCTCAGGTACAATAATGCTACCCGAACCCCGAGTCGAGTCAGGTGCGAGTATAATATGAAAACCCATTACCCGACCCGATTACCCTATCCGTTTACCCGCAACCATTGAATCTTATATATATACATACATATTATATATATATATTTATAACTTATTATAATTATACGAGTAGTCATGTGTTATTTTTAAAAATTAGATTATCTATTATGATTTTGATTAATAGTTAAATTTTATTTTATTTTTATGATTTTATTATCATTTTTTGTTAATTGTACAATAAAAAAATTACACAATTAATTTTTAAATGTTATAGTATTAAATAGACTATAAAAGATAAATAATTATATCTCATTATTTATTTCAAAAATAATATCATTTTTTATATTTTTTTATTGTGAAACTTAGTTAATAAATTATTTGTTACATTATCATTAATTGTGAAATAAATTTATTTTATGTTTTCA